TCGCCATTCAAATAAAAGTTTAGGTCTCTTTATCCGGTAGCCAATGGTTCGGTTCGGTTGTTCCGAGGAAGCTCAAGTGTAACCATCACGGCAGCGGCCAACGCCAAGCTTCACGAGATTTCAGGGCTGAGCTTCTTTGGAAGAGGCGAGAGCGTGCATTATCACCATCAATATTTCGGCCCTCGATAAAGTTCAGCTGTAGAGGTGTGAAACGGGGCGACAATTTGACAATTTGACCGATGATGAATGAGGTGATAACGGGAAATCGGTACTCCGGCACACCCAACCCATCTACAGTGGAGTTGTGCCGAGCCCTTTTGGCGGAGTTTTACCCCTGTCAACAGTGAGGGCCATCACTGGCTCAATGGCTGGGCGCTGTCATGTGAATGGGGCGGCCGCCGGAGTACAGGCCGTTTTTCTGGAGCTTACGGCGGTCTTCCGCTCTTCCACGTCCTGATCCGGCATCCCGGGTGTAGCGGGTGTGACGGTGACGGGTGGTTGGTGAAAGTGGAAACTTGCATCACAGAGCCAACAAGAAGGTGACGGGGAATGGGAAATGCCATATCTTCATTTGGGACTGGGAGAAGCTTTGTGAGAAGATTCTGGGCGTTTGCTGCACAGACCGCTAGTCCTTTGCGCTGCAGGGCCTTTGCCCTGCAACCCTCCTTTGACAGCGGATCTGGCACCTCCCAGAATCCCCTCCTTTGCAGACCTTCCTCCTCTTTGTATCACCAGCTCTATATAGCTGGTGATCCCCTCCAGCTTCAGTTAGCTGGATCCCTCAATCAATACATCATCATTCACATCATTTCGTGATCCATCTCATAGGTTATGAGCCCTCGCGCATCGCGCGCACCCTTTTCAGAAGCTATTCTAGCCTCCTGCACTTCCTTTCCATTTACGGAGGTGTAGGAGGGCAGCAACTCCTATTAAGAAAGGGCGATATCGCTATTATCGACTTTTAGTCGCAATAACAACAATCTTATTAAAAGATTACCTCGACTAAAGCCTAAGGTCACCCTTAATCTCACTAGGAGATCTACCCTTTGACTAAAATCACTAAAACGGTTACTTTTTATTTACCTTTTCTATTTATCAAAACTATTCAACTAAAGTCAACTTTCTCTCTACCCGGCTTTCTTTCCTTCAACCCCAAAAGTCCATCCTTCTTTTGATGGCAACGAAAGTCTACCTCAATCTTGGTGGCAAACCCCAACCGAAAGTCTATCTATCTTGATGGCCCCGATCTAAAGAAGCTAAGAAAGGGTAGTAGCCAAAGAGAAAAGCTAATTCGAATATTTTACTAAACCCTGCCCGAACCTAAAGAATAAACTAAGGAGATGAGAGGAGGAGTAGAAGAATCTAATGGGTAAACTATTTTAAACCTAGAGTTAGAGGACGTTAGCCAGATGCCAGTAGCTAGAGTTGCTAGTTGCCCGAGCCCCCTCTAACGAGGATATTTGAAGCTGATAGAAATTAATGGAGGACCCGGAAGGAGATGGAGATACCCTTATTTTCACCCTTTTGTTTATATGTACATAGATTATTTTCCTTCTGTCAGGTCTGTGGGGGTGTGTGAGAAGATTCTGGGCGTTTGCTGCACAGACCGCTAGTCTCCAGCTTCAGTTAGCTGGATCCCTCAATCAATACATCATCATTCACATCATTTCGTGATCCATCTCATAAGCTTACAATGTCACATTCAGTATTACCGAACGAATCCGATCCTGCACAAGCTACCTTATGGCTTGTCAAATCAACGTGAAAGTCACGAGCTGAACACACCATCCCACCACCACACTTTGTACGTGCCGCAGCAACCACGATATCGCTCGTCGTCGGTGTGCGGTACCAGTACCAGTGGGTGCTGCGGGAGCGGCACACTCAAATACGAGATATACTACACTAGCTCCAGTGGCTCCCTAAAACCGTCTCTCCACACCCCCGGATTGTGGGAACGCCAAGGACCCTATAGGCGGTTCCCAGTGACGATGCTATTCCGCTGTCGGTAGTGTAGCTGTGGGCTTGTAAGCTGGCGTTCGGAATACGAACATCGTCACTTGCCAGGAAGAAAAAGTTGGTCCGCGCCATGTTTGCGCCATTGTGGGCGGAATTGGTGGAAGTGCCTTTCCGGTGAAAAAGTTTGCTGTGATGATCGAAAAACTGGGGGGCTTGTTGGTTTTTGTATAAATGAAGGGCTGATGGACTAACAATCGTTCTGTGTCTCCCTTCTCTCCCAACATCCCCCATCGATATTTGTGTCTCACCAGATTGACAGGAAACGCGCATCAATCTTCCAGACTTTGTGTGACAAGAAGACACAACAGTTGGTCGCGTTTGACAACAACAGCAAGAACAACCACGGAACTTTTTTCACATAACAGCTCCACCATCCGCCATCGTTATTTCCCTCCCAGACCGAACTACTTCAAAAAGTTCAGTCCCACCAACTTCTTTCCCATCACCAGGGCACCGCCGACACCAAACCACCAATCAATCAAAATGAAATCCACAACCACTACCGTCCTCACCGCGCTCAGCGCCCTCACCCTCTCTCCCGTGGCCCTCGCCGACTTCGACGGTTTCTTCCGCTTCATCGGCGGCAACGCCATCATCTCCGGCGAGCGCCTGCGCCTGAACAACTCGATCCCGTGGATCTCCCCCGGCGTCTCGCACGCGCCCTACAACCCAGCCGACCACTACTCGCGCATCTACATCAACGACACCACGCCCAACCTTCTCTACGTGGTCCCCACCAACCCGCACCCTCCTCCCGTGCCCGGCTACTACGCCCTTTCCGGCACTGAAGGCGTGCCCGACGCGTACCGCTTGGTGCAGACTTATCGTCCTGATGAGGAGGGGAGTGTCAATTTGTATAAGGAGTGGAAGGTCAAGAAGGCGTGTGCTAAGGGAGGGAACAAGAATGAGACGAGGAGCCTGCTCAGGTATGGCAATGATTTGTATGGCGAATGGAGGTGGATTGCGGTTAGGGAGATTGGGTATACCGGCGCCGAGAGGTGGGTGCCGTGGTGGGTGAAGCCCTCCGAGGCGAACATTGGAAACTTGACGGCGTGGGACTATGATATTGCGGATCTGGAGCTCGTGGCTGCCACCGGCGGTGTGAACTCGAACGCGCCGGGCGGTGTTGAGGAGGGCAACTAAAGGATGGACTTGGGTTTGCAGATGAAAGGAGGGAGGGAGAGCTTTTGAGGATGAGGCGGGGAGAGTAACAAAGGCCTGGGAGGTGGCGGACTCGAAGGAGATGTGCTCGGGTTGGAGGGGAGGAAGTAATTGGGTGTTTTACGGTTCACGGGTAGGTTGTCTATAGGATAGATGACTGCTGGCGTGTTGGACATATCTTCTTGCACATATCTTTCAACCGCACTCGCGGTCTTCAACTTCATTTTCCCCCATACTTCATTGAACTTCATGCTACCTACATTTGTCCTTTGCCTCCATATCCGTGTTACCTGAAGTCAATCACTTTTTGTCATGGTGGATTCGTTCCGCTGCTTTTACGGACTAGGACAAAGAAACTCCTCAGCACTGGGAGGATCTAATTCTCGGCCGGCAGCATCATTGTTTTTCTTTGATTATAATTCCGAGGGGCCGGGCCGTGTCTACAAAGGTAGATGCCTCGAACAAGCTAGTCGGACTGCATAGTGAAAGCGGGCCTTTGACAGTATAATCCGAACAGAAAGGAAGGTGAAACACACAGACACGGCTGGTAAGGACACGATCGTTGGTTGTTCGTCTTTCATCTTTCATGAAGGCCGGCAGTCAAGCCTCTCCGTCGTCGCCTTCTTCGATCTGCCTCGTCCCTTCAACAAAGAAAGGATGTCTGGTCTCGAAGCTCCACGTCCGAGCTCGAAGCTTATGTTATGTTCGGAAGCCCAGTACACCAGTATAGTAGAGGTTGCATAGAGGTATACTGTTGATGGCCTGCAGCAAAATTGCTGTACAGTAATGCAACAGTAATGCACCCCAACCTACCCCAAACTCCCCTCCTATAACAGTTTCGTGTTCGTTAGTACTGTTGTACTATGTATGAGGCGCTGTAAAACAGGGCATATGCGCGCTCGAAATCCTCTCATACTGCCCGGCATAAACATGGGTTTTCACGCAGTATGAAAGCGAAGAACGCAGTAAGAACTCCAACGATTTCTGGCCTTCTGATTGGTCAAATGCACCCATTGGGGGAGTTGGGGGAAGTGCAGCGACCTACCTCGACTTGCAGATTTTTACTGGAAAACAGCCGAACGCAGAAAACAGGGCAGTATACTATTGCTTACTGCCATATAAACTTCCTTACTGTTACTGGTATACTGGGCTTCCGAACGCAACATAAATGTCTTCATTCCGTGGATAGCGTGGTATCCGGCCGAACAGCATCACCCTTAGAACTCCCATTTACCCTAGCAGACCATCCAACATCCACGGCCTTCACTGAACATATCTTCATGTACGGAAGACAGAAATAGCACAACAAAGCAGATTAAGGACAACAATGACACCACCCATTTTCGGTACCGCACGACTATATGGGATACCGAGCAATTTGGGTATAAAAACAACACCATCGCCCCAACTAATGTTCTCTCTTCTCTGCCAACACCAGCCTCGACAGAAAGAATTCTAAGACAGCAACAAAAACATCATCACAGACCAAGCCTTTCCCCAGCCAGCCCTTCACTACCTTACTCGACATCCAAAATGCCCGAGAAGAGGCTCACCCCCAGCTTTCAGGTCAGGCGGATGACTGCCCCCGACCCGAACAAGAAGAAGGCCGAAGACAACAAGCAACAAGACAAGAAGGATGAGGGCAAGAAGAAGGAAGAGAAGAAGTAACTTCTTTCATCTTTTTCTATACTTTTCTTTTTCCGCACAGCGGCACCGCAAGAATGACATGCACCCTATTCCATCAGCAAGCAAAAGGAACGAACAACGCCAGCTCCAATCTCAATCAGAAAGACAAAAAACACAAAAAAAGAAAAAAGACATGCGCGGTCCGGGATTCGAACCCGGGATCTTACACTACGGTTGCCGGCCGCTTTCACACTTTGTGTGTGTGTGCGTCCTCGGGTAGCCGGCCCTCAGCACAAAATTTTGGAGTGTACACGTTAGACCACTACGCCAACCGCGCTTGTTTTTTGTTGCAAGTTACACACAAAGACCTAATACATATACCGCGGAGGAAGGAAGGAGCACGGGGACTTGGTGGGTAGGGAAGGTACGTACCTGCTTGCTCCATGTCGGCCTTTCTGTACCTAGAGGGTGGTCTTGCTCCTTCCACTCACTTGGATTGGTCCCCCGCGCCCAAGCTTGTCTTCCTTCCTTCCTTCCTTCCACATGGCAACACGCCGTCCCACTTCGTTGCCAGAATGCAACCGAACTGCCCCTCATTAGCGCTGTATCGCCGTTTTCTTTTGGAGTTCTGCTTGGTTTGCCTCCATCACCGCGGTTTGGCATCTCTCCTTTCCATTCTCGCCAGAGGTCCGACACTGCCTCTCCCAACGCCGGCACAGCATCCATCTAGGTTTTCATTGTGTTAGAACTTTAGTACTACAAAATATGAGCTTCCTTCATCATCAATCGTGACTTCTCTTATCGTTATCACTTGTTCGTCGTAAACACTTTGCAATTGTGTGAAATCAATTTCCAGCTCGTTTTGGAGCTTGTCCTATACCCGAGCCGTAGACGGGGACAACCCTCTATTCCGATGTTAGAGGCACTGACGGAAAATCTTGTAGAATGAAGGATCAAGCCAAATATAGTTCCTTCTTTGGGACCAACGTTGGGTTCGGTGTTTTCGACCAGCCGGACCAGGGGGGTAGTCTAGCTGGTCTATTTGCGACAAGTGTCAGAACAACAGCCGAGGGGCTGTCACTGGCTCATTGCCCGGGTGTTGGCGTTATTGATGTCCAAAATTATTTTTCCAAGAGGACGAGAAGGCATACACAAGAGAGGGAGAACAGGGAAATGATCTATCCACCCATGTCATGATGGGTGGGGAGAGAAATCAAGTCTGCGCGGAAATGCGCCAAGACCCGAGATGCAAAGCACGTTGAGGTGCCCAAAAAGGAATGCACAGCGGATGTTATTGCACTAACACTGCCAGCGCAAAACATGCGGTAGAGGGGATAACAAGGCATCTAGTTCAGTGCATGCTCCACTCTGACCACGCACCTCCCTTCAAACCGTGCATGCAAGCTGCTCTTCCTCCACGACCAGCCATCAGAAGAAAGAAACAACGACATCACGACATACCGTGACCTAAAACCACACAACAAACCGACTTTTTCCGCTCAACCATATCCCTCGACCAACGGACTCTTCCGCTTCCGCAATCATGGACAACAGCGTCGCCGCAAAACCTGCCCCAGACACTCCGCCGTTTTCCGATGCCATCAAGATATTCCACCTGGCCTGAGGCCTACAGAGTAAAACAGGCATGCGAGGTCCACGACGAAAACAGTATATATCTTCCCGTCTGCCGAATCGAAAGGACATGAAACGTGGAGGACCGATCCGGACACACAGAAGAAGGGCGACGAGGAGGAGGGCTTGACTTCCCGCCGAATAGCTGCTCAATTCGAAACATATCTCTAATCCTTTGAGTACATGGCTCCTCATGCGGTGCCGGGCTGATATGGGGACGCCGGACTACCTACAAGGCCAACGAGTGCTGGATAATACGAGTTTGGCGACAAATTCTCAGCCTGCCAACCTATATAAACCTCCTCCCAGAACACAGTCGCCCGCACTGCCGTCTCTGAGTGCGCCGTCGTTGATCAGCGTGCTTAACGCAACCCCGGTACTCTCCAAACCATGCCCATAGCCCACGGTCTACATGTAACACCGGCAACAGCATGAGGTTGACTCGCTCTTGGCCATGGGTCTGGCGTCAACAAAACAGGGCGTCGGCATTGATCTGGAGGCATATACTTTTGAGTGTCCCTGTTGACCTGGTCTGGCCAGAAGCCATTCGTTCTCAATTCTTCGATATTGAATGACGACGAGGATTCTACGCGGTACCTGTGGACTCCTTACATTGGGACCTTTTTCTAGCCCGTAAGAGCCGATGTGCAGATGCTGGGAGCATACCTCTATCAACAATAGAGCTACCTATTGCTCGAAGCGCTGCGGTTGGTGAAACCCGATCTTCTCGCATCCTGCAAACAAGTGGAGACTGGGGGTTCTAAACATGTTCCGGCCATATGTTTCGCACAAAGGCGTGGGGGTATGTACACTTGAAGCTCTAAGCGACAATGTGCCAGGTCTTCAATAGAACTGGAAGGTACGGTACCCAACTTGGGCTGTTGAGTGGCCTACATGGAACACATACTTTGGGAAAGGAGAGCAACAACGTCACCCGATTATACCATTTTCTGCGCACAAAAGACCGTGTCAGATCACGGGGCTTCCGTTCTTTGAGGCCAGGACGAGAACACTCACTACAATCTGAGCTCGACGTCAACAAATTCTCTGGATTGGAATCAAAATTACCTCTACTTCAACCTCTTCACACGCGAACTGCCGTCCAGCCACCTTTTTACCCACCTCAAACTTGAGCGCTCTCCCAACCACTTTCTTACCATTCTGGTCGCAAAGTCAGACGCGTATTCGACGAATCCCACAAGCTTTACGCGACAAGACAAAAGACCTCGGGCATCTCCTTCTCGTCTTGCCCCCATCGGACAATACTCGTCCTTTACCGACCTGACAACTATCATGGGCCGCTCCAAGTCTGGTCAACGCGCCTCCCTTGAAAAGAAAGCCGAGTCAACGGCTGCGGGAGTCAACCCCAAAAAACGCCTTGCAACGGCGCTGAAGGCGAAGGGAGCTCCTCGCCCTATCTGGGATCCGCCGAGAATGTCAGTCACGCCTTCTCACAAGGTCAAGGCTGAGCCTAAGTCCCCTAAGGCGTATTCCCCGCCGACTCTTCGCTCCTCGACGACTTCCGGTTGCAGAAAAATGGAGAAGGCAGACATCCAGAAGATTAAGGATGAGTTGTCCTCTGAGACGGCCTCCGGAAGGACTCTTCGCTCCTCAACCTCCTCCGCTGCCGCCAAGGTCACCGACAAGGTCAAGAAGGCAGCCCAGGCAGCTATCCGGAAAATCAAAGACGAGCTGTCTGCTGAGTCGCCTCCCGAACCAACTCTTCCCTCGCCGACCACTTCCGTCGCCAGCAGGTCGAAGAAGTCGCATTCCGGCAGAGCTCTTCGTTCCTCAACCGCTTCCACTGCCGGCAGAATTGAGAAAATCAAGGAAGAGCTGCCTGTTGAGTCGTCTCCCGGAACAACTCTTCATTCCTCGGCCCCCTCCTCTACTGGCAAGTCCAAGAAGACATATTCCGGAAAAACTCGTCGCTCTTCAACTGCTGCTGCACGCAGAACCGCCACTAAGAAAGTGAAGAAGGAGCTGCCTGACGCGCCGTATCACGGACCAACCCTTCGCTCCTCGGCCACATCCTCTTCTGGCAATGTTGAGCCGTACTCCGCGCCAACCCTTCGGTCTTCTGGCCGCGAGGAAATTCAGAGAATTAAAGAGGAACTCTCTTCTGAGGCGCCTCTCGATCCAGCCTCTGATTTGGTCACGGTTGCGATGGCCTCAGAGCCCGAGGACGAGCCTGAGATTGAACCTCAGTCCCAGCCTGTGTCCCAGCATGAGGCCGCGCCTGAGGCCGAGCAAGAGGCCGAGCCCGAGGTTGAGCCTGAGCATGAAGAGGCACAACGAACCATGGCCAGCCACCGCTACGGCGATCACCGCAACTGTCCCAGATGTACCGTTTGGGGCTGGGAGTACCCACCTCTTCATGTTATCGACGAGGAGGAGGAGGAAATTTGAGATGTCGAGGCGGTAGTATTGAGATGAAGAAGTGGAGATGTCTCTCAGCCGCCGATGTTGGTCGTTGTCGTCACTTACCGTCGACAAGTTACCTATACACCACATCCAAGGCAACCATCCCCCCTCTTGGGTTCACAGCCAGTGCTACATTTTCATTTACGTTGGTACTTTCACAACTTGTTTTCTGGAAGAAGGACTGGAAAGTAACAGCCTCCACTGTATTGGTACCTCTAGGTGGCTTATATGCCTTCAACGTTTGTCTGCCATTACCATTCCGCTAGCGAGGCTGCCAGTAGCGAGTCAAGGCTTGTAATCTCAGGACCGACGAGTTTGACTAGGTCATCTCCAAGGAGGTCAGGGCCAGTGTCGACAGAACATCGAGGTCAGATGTATAAGGTACCTAGCGTCCGAGCGGATGCCCGTCCCAGTTGCAGTTTATATATGTTTAGGTAATTTCCTACCCAATTTCAAGCCGGAGGCTTCCATCACGAAAGAGGAATGTCTCTCCTTCACTTTTATGCTTTTGTTTTTTGCATTATTTCCACCACCCTAATTTGTCTAGCACGTGCTTCATTTTGCCAAATCGTGCTCCTTGCCACAAGTCCAGGTACATGTAAACCTGGAAGCATCATTACCTGGGACCTCTTCACTCTCACACTTGGAACCTGATTCCGCTGCCATTCACTAACCATGCCTGCAACCTTGGACTCCACCAAGACTGAGGTTCAGTCGCACAAGGATTTAAAGGCCATTTGCCTCGCCGAACACAGCCGGCACTGACTTCTTCTTCCACCAAGCACTGACGAGCTATTCTGTACTGTCCTTGAGACAACAACCAGACCACAGCAGCATCCCTCGTAAGTGCCCCTTCTGTTCCTGCGTCATTATTCCAGATGCTTAGCGTGGATTACTCCTCATTATGGTATACTTGATATATGTTTTTACTAACCATCAAGTCGTTTAGACTGCTACTTCTGCGGGAAATCAAGATGGCAAGATCGTTGGCCGGCCTCCGCGCTTCACGCGAAGAGAAGGCCAGACTCAAGTCCCGGGGTATCAACCCCAACAAACAGCTCGCAAACCGTGCAAAGCACCGAGGCCTGAGATGTGCCAGCCCATTGCGCATGAAAGCCCCATCTCTTTCCATTGCAGCTTCCTCTTCCAGCTCATCAAAATCCAAGAGCGCTTCGTCTAGGACTGGCCCAACCGAAATCGCTGAACCGATGGGCAGGGCAAAGCCGACAAGCAAGGACAAGGCTCTCTACAGCAAGGCTAAGCCCAAGACCACGACTGAGA